ACGACGGCTTTTGGGTGAAAAAAAATCAGAAATGTCTGAAAAAATATTTTAAAAAAGTCATGGAAAATACATTTATTAAAATTGAGAAAACGGCAGGAAAAAAAAAGCTATGTGACAAATATTATAGTATAATATTACCAACCTGATACATCATCTCTGTACCCTGTAATCTCACAGCGAATGAAGCCATCTTTCTCTCGTCTGACCCTAAAAGCCTTTGTGACTGAAACGCGGGCGGCAGGAGGCAGACGGGCTGCAGCGCCGCCAGCAAGACCCATAAAAACTGCACCCGTGTGAAGCAGAGGAAGGTGTGAGACTCCTGGGCAGCGCGACTAGATGTGATGAACCCGCGGGGGGGATCTGCCCTCGGACTCTACCCTCCTTTGTGGGAGAGCTGACCCCCTCCTTCCTCCCCCCTCCTCCTCCTCCCGCATCAACACATGTCCCTGCGTCTCCACGCGTCTTCCCCCACCCGTGCTCCCCGCCGCGTGTCCTCCTCCCTTCTCCGTCCACTCCGGTAAACCTCGTCTCCGTTGCCGAGGCGACCGGACGACGGCGGCCCTTTGCTTCCTCCCGCCCTCGCAAATCACAGCGGATAGCAGATGTTCCCCGGCGCCGCCGCTCGGCCGCCCTCACCACGAGCCAGACGGCAGAACGCTGATTGATGATCAATCGGGCATCAGCAGCCTTCACACGAGGAGAAACGGATCTGAAGCTTCATCTCAGTGCGGATCCACGTTGGCAGAGCGACGAACCATCATTGCCCTTTGGAGTCTCGTTTCCATTGAAGGCCTCGTTTCCCCGTTCATAGTCTCTCTGTGAGAATCGGCCCTCAGCTTAAAGGGCCTGTGGGAATCAACACGAGCACACAAACGCACACGTGTTGTCCACATCGATACCGAAAACATAACCATGGCGTCTGAAAAAGTCGATATTAAAACGAGATGAGATTTTAACGATGCGAGGTGGGGAAGTGGGTCAGTGCAGCAGCACATTGAAGAAAACATGAATTAAGATCGTGGAAAAAGACAACGGTCTTTATCATCGTTAATCAAACTGACGATATCAACCAAAAATTGTTTGTATTTCCCCAAAATAAACATGTGAAACACAAGACTTAATCCAGGAGTCTCCGGGGCAAGTGGTCTAAAAGTCCCTTTTAATAAATGCTCCCTGGAGGGCCAGAACCTCCCCGGCTGCGCTGCTCAGCTCGGCGGCGTTCGTGCAACAGCTTGAGCGTGTGCACAGACGCCGTGACTAATAACTTCTATGCAGGCGCAACATGCATGATTCAGAAGCTGTGAGCGCCGCTCAGCTGCCGTCATATTTTCATCCACAGTGACTCAGACGCTGCAGATACACGACTTTATTTGTCTTTGAAACTCTGTTTTCGTTTCTATTTGTTAGGGTGACCTAAACTCTCCATCTGCACAGGAAGCCCTCACGTTGCTTCCTCCAGGCAAAAGATGTTTCTTCAGCACGCCGAGTGTTTCGCCCACAAGCACCAGAGCTTGTTGAGTTCCTTGAAAGTACTCGGTTGTGTTAACAATCCCTGACGAGCTCTACAGGAGCAGGAGCCCACATGAGTATTCATGAAGGAGCGTCCCCCCCCCTGCGTCCTCCCCCGCGGTGTCTGTCCACAGTACGGTACCCCGGCTTCCTTTTAGCTCGTCCAGCCGACGTCTCGATGGAAACACGATTAGTGCTCCCTGCCGTCTTCCAGCACTGGTTGGGTGGTGTCTGTGGAAGGAGGTCTGGAGGAAACGCTTGCTGAAGGGAGAATAGAAAATGCGTTTTACCACCATTGTAAAAGAGTTAATCGATAGAGACGTTACCTGAGCCACAGACGGCCCTGCCACTGGGAGACGTGAGGGGGGGGGGGGGGGGCGTCTGATGAGACCCATTAGGAAATAAACATCCCACCCAGGGCAATAATAACCACGGACATTATGACGGCACGACATGGCGCGCGGGCAGCGAGCTGTCGACTACTCCCGGTGCCGCGGGTTCGGCTTTAAACAGCCACGGCAAATGAACTCTCCTCGTTTGGGGGCTCGCGGCCGCGGCGGCTCTTCCTGTCCTGGCGCGTTACCGCCGCAGCGGAATACTTTGTCTGGATGTCGCACATTCGCAGCGAGGACGCCCGCTTCTGTTATTCAGTCCGTTTGAGAACAACACGCGGCTTCTTCTGGCGCTGTGACGCATTTCAATGATCCTTTTCGGTTCAGTTCATTCTCTTATTGCCAGAGCTGCACAAGAGGTGCATTTGGTTTGTGCAGCAGGGATCCCAGTTTCCCTCTTAGCGACTTCAATAGAGCCCGTCGCTGTCTCCCTCTAACCGCGTTAGCATCTCTCTATATATGTAACGCAGGCGCTGAAGACAATAATCAAAAGAACCTTCCAGACGTATCATGGAGGTTGATGAAGAGCGTTCCAACCAACTCATGAAATCAATGATAACTGAGGAGGCGCACGGAAAGCATCAAACACAAGAGACTGTTGTGCACTCGCGTGCTAATAAAGCATCATTAGCGATGCCTCAATGTAAGCTGTAACATAACCTTTGACCCCACTCCAATGCCACGCCGTGTGAGACTAACGGGGCAAAGTGTGATCGCGTGGCCAGACATCGATGATTCAGATTTCATTCTCAGAATTCTGAGTTTCCACTCAGAAGTAAATACTTTGTTTTCCCCTTGTTCCAACCGTCTTTCATATCGACTTATGTCATCCGCTCGAACTACAGGATTGGCATTTTAATGTTGGCTTAAACTTCTTTTCTCTGTGCAATTATCACATTGTTTTGCCGCTCACGATTCTCTTCATGTTACGTTGAGCAATTTCTGCCAAAAGTTGAGTGTTTTCTTTCAACTGTGCACAAGGTTTAAGAGCCAGAATGTCTCACGCGGTGGAGAAAAAAAGAAAAGATAAGGGACAAAGAGCTTCTTCTGCCCGCTAATGGACGAGCTGTTCAGATTAAATTCCCTACAAAGGACTTGACAGCGGTTTCCTGTGTGCTTGTTGCCTTCGGATGGTCTGACGCATTAATGTGCCGCGTTAACATGTCAGTATATAAGGATGAAGTGGAAGACTAGCGAACTTACTGAGATTTACATGTACAACCTTTAAACGCTGAGTAAATACATTCGTATACAATTGTTTCCATTCACAAGTAAATACAGAATCAAATCATCTGCAATGGATCTTCTGGATTTTCTGCTCTGCCATCATCTATTTATGTTCTGTATTCCTGAATCGGATTAGAACGTCCAGATCGAGCCTCTGATCACGGGGACCTTTTCCTTCAGCCAGTGAGCGAGAGGCAGAGCGCTCTGATGAGTTCTTCAATGAGACTTTGTTAGAATGCCCGCTGCAGGACGCTCGCTTTAATCTTCTTCAGTTGAGTACGACTACGCGGCCGTCCTCACTGGAGCTGGACTTAACGTGCACAATATTATCCAGCGACAGTAACATTTAATCTCCCCTCAGCGTCGGTGGAGGAGCCCGAGGCGAAGCCGTCGTAGCGCCGGGTGTTTGTGTGCTTGTTTGGATACTTCGATGTCTCGCTGCTAGCTGCTTCTTATCCCGCGCGGCTAACCCCAGCTTTATGTGCAGCATCTGATGATATAGCTGCAAAATATATATATATATATATGTATATTTGAAAATTGTACTTTAATGTGAAGAATGCTCATGCTGCAATCATTTAAAAAAATAATAAAGAAACAACTGTCCAATCCATTAAACTTCACTGACTCTTTCATATATCGTAGTTTTGGCATTCAACATTTTCCAAAAACATTTACTTTCTACCCTTTTATCCTTTTGCAAGTACAAAATGTTAAAAGCGTGTGCAGTTGCATCATCATTATGAGCAGCCAGCAGAAAGACATATGAAGATGAGAACCATAATTTCCCAACGAGAGCAAACAGCGGCTAATGTGTTGCTGAAATGTGTCCGCTGTGATGTCATTATCCGAGCATCTGAAACTCCGATAATTTGGACTCGTCCATTACGTCAAATTATGCACCGATTGCCTTCCATTGGCAAGAAGCATCAAACACACAGCGCCAGCGTATTCCGACTCACAACACCCCCCCCACCACCTCTCCCGCCTGCCCAAACACACTCTGCACCTGCTCCGCCCGTCCCTCCGGCCCCCCGCCGGTGTCTCTGCACCTCTGCTGCCCCGGCCGGTTCCCCCGCGTCCACACTGGTCTCCGCCTGTGGGACAAAAGACAATTCAGCCTGAGTTAAAAAACCTCTCATGCAGTTCCTGCCTCGGAGTAAATGACCTGAACCTGCATGGTGCCCCCCGGCCCCCCTTTACCCCTCCTGCCCAGTAGAGATTCACCATCGAGTATCACATCATGTTACCTTGGAACACAGTATTTTATGAAATTATCCACAAGAAGCTCATTTTGATTCAGGCCTCATTTTGATTGTCACTCGAAGCTCATCCTCTCTCTCTCTCTCTCTCTCTCTCTCTCTCTCTCTCTCTCTCTCTCTCTCTCTCTCTCTCTCTCTCTCTCTCTCTCTCCAGGGTCTCCTCTCATCAGGTGAAGCACTGTGAGCCACTGCCCCCCGATACGCCCCCGCCTCACCTCTCCTCCCTCCCTCCTGTCCCAAAGACGTCACCCACTACCCGACGGGCCCTAAAACCCCCCCGGCCTCACCTGCCGAACCCCATCCGACAGCTGCCACTGGCCCCCCCCTTACCCCATGGTGGCCCCAAGGCCCGCCCTCTCACTGCTGTTGGCTGTGCTGGCCTGCACGGGGCCCGTGCGCCCCTCGCCCCCCCTACTGCTGCGGCCCCGGGAGAGAGAGAGGGACTCGGGTGGGGTCAAAATCTCTGGTGGTCCACTCGGGGCTCCTCCCTGCTCCCGGACACGGCGGCGGCGGCTGCGGTGGAAGGCGCGGGGGTCGGCGATACGGGGTACGGGGCAGGGGCCCGGTCCGGGAAATGGTCCGGAGGAGGAGGATGTGGAGGAAGGAGGAGGAGGGAGGGGAGTGACCGACACAGTCTCGCTAGAAGCAGCAGCCGCGATGGCCTCGTTTTCCTCCTCCTTCTCATCGTCCCTGTCCCTGGCGGCGCTCGTAGGGGAGACGGTGATGACGCCGTCGGGTCAGGCCAACGTCATCTACCTGGCGGTGAACGAGAGCAGCCCGGGGACCCTCCTGCTGCAGCTGTGTGAGCTGCTGGCCACCACGCCGCTTCAGGTACACGCCGCCCTCCCGTCATCACTCACCCACTCATCCGCTCACAGGGACACCGGTGGACCGCTCTGTGGTTTACTGATGGGGGGGGGGGGACAGATTTGTCTAATCCGTCTTTTTCTTTAATCCCAGGAGGTGTTGCCGTCAACATCTGGATCCAGTGAGACTTGAACTCTTGCTCTCCTGTCTCTAGGTCTCAAGACGTGCGTTAGGTCAAACACTCCGTGTCATCACAGGAAGTAACAGACATTTACAACAGTCAGTCAACTGTCAGCTTTTCTGCAAAGACTTACCTCCGATTTCATCTCTGTGAACATTGACTGCCAATCAGAACCCCCCCTCCCACGGTTTACTTTGATAAGCCCTAACCCTAAAGCAATGACGGGTTTCTTCTGCAGTCGGGACGCGTGTTGGCAGAGTGAAGTCAGTATAATTGTTCTAATTGTTCATTCTTCCCCCTGATGGATTCCAGGAAGCAGCCTGCGTGAGAACAGAAAGAAGCCAAAAGCTTTGATCGACGTCTTCTCATCGACGCCCACGTGAAGCCTTTTTCTGACTTTCAGGGTTTGGTGTTCGAGGAAGAGAGGCCGCCGCCTCCGACCCGCGCCCCCCTGGCCCCCATGCTGGAGTTTGTCTCCGCCCAGACCGGGGTTCCCGTGGTGGCCGTAGGGGGAGGGGCCAGCCTGGGCCGAGAGCAACAGGTAAAAGCGGATACCTTCACCGTGCATCTTCATTCAGCTTGGTCCGTGGCTTAAACACGAGGCGGGAACACGCGACATCGGCTGGTTGATGACGTTTTTCATTTTTCATTTGATGTATTCACCAACATCAAAATGACAATGACAAAAAGACACGGCCCACGTGTTAGCCACCATTTACCCAGCTCAACATCCAGCCGCCTCCTCTCTATCCATCGCTTCATCACCGCTGCAGCTGCCAGTGGGCTCAATGAGCGCCGTGGAGGTGGAGGTGGCCGGAGGGCCGGTTGGAGCTCCGGATGTGATCGTCCTCCGTGGGTTCGTGCCGATGAGCCGCTCCTCCCCCACTGACGCTACGATCCAGTCTGTTTCATTTCCGCGGTACGGTGAAGGGAGGATCAGCGCAGGACCTTTGGTGGCAGAATTGGAACACGAGGTTATGACTCGGGTCTCTGCCGCTCGTTAAGTTCTCGCCCGGGAGCCGGAGCTGCCGGAGACCCCGAGAGAGACGCAGAAATAAACATTTCAGCTCTGGATGCGACGAATGCTGGAGAAGAGAATGTGGTCTCTTCTGCAGTCACCGGAGTCCCCTCGCAGGACCAGTTACCAGCACCACTTCTCGTTACCGAGCAGAAGATCTCTGTTAATGATTTGACCTTTCGCCGTGTGCTCCGCAGAAGCCCGGTGTACAACTGAGACAAGTTGTATGGGCAATTGCAATAAATACACCATTTTTTCAAAGTTGCCGATCCAGTGCGTCGAGACGCATTCTGGGTCACCTTGTTTCTAATTAGGCTGATTTGGCCGTCGCTAAGGGCTAATAAAGGTCAGGTGGCTCATCTGTGTGGGAATATTGTGGTGGCAGACATTCGCTAACAAAGCAGTCCAACGCGAGAGACGTGATATTTATTGAATAAGCCATTTGCATGATGCACTTGTGATTTACACACAACTGTAACTCCTGTGGCATTTGATAGAGGTATTGAACCGTCGGCTTCTGAAAATAATCATTATGGAACGCAGCCAGCATTAATGCGGGAGGAGTGTGTGATTTGAAGTCGACAGATGACATATTATTTACTATTGATATATGATACATTATTTAGTATCTATATATGTATATTTAGTTATTTATTCATGGCTGACCTGCATGGGCTGTGTTTCAGAAGTGGGCGTGGTCAATGTGACCTCACCCAGTTGTTTTTGGACTTCTGCTTTGACGCCTCAGGTTTGGGTATTTTGGGCGTCTCCTTCTTGGTTATTTGCAACGGGAGGTGGCGGCAGAGGGCGGAGCTACAGAATCCAGAGCCGAACAGATTGAGTTATGCAGAACAAAGTGATTTTAATTAAACAGAATAATTTAAAAACAGACGTTATGTGGTCAAAGGACCTGGAAGTTAAAATCATGTTTCATGGAGTTCTTTTGCTCTTCCCAGCGTTTCCAGTGGGTCACGCTGAAGCAGAACGTCAGACGTTCTGGTTCTAAAGCCCGGCGGTCTCACCGAGTCGTCTCTCGTTGCTTTCAGGAGAGCGGGTCCATCTACCTCCAGTTCACCTGCTCCACCTCGCTCCAGCTGGAGGTCATCTTCGAGGTCCTGGAGGAGTACGACTGGACCTCCTTCTCTGTGGTCACCACCCGTCACCACGGCTACGAGGACTTCCTGGCCATGGTGGAGGGGATGACGGACGGCTCGTTCATCGGCTGGGAGAAGAAGAGCGTGGTGATTCTCAACGTGACGGATGACCCCGGGGGGGCCCGAGCCAAGCGGATGCTCAAAGACAACGAAGCGCAGGTGGGTCCAGGTCCTTCACTCGTCGCTTCTTTTGTCTCTCCTGGAAACAACGTTAAAACTTTCCCACTCAACGCACTTCTGAACACTATGTGACATGAATCAGTTCAGATGCTGAGGTGGGGGGAACCAGAGATGCATTAAACACTAATTTCTCTCTCTCTTCAGAAGAAACAACAGTGGCTCAGTTTGAGCAGGACTCCAAAGAGTCAATACCCGGTTAATCAACTTTGTCGGATCAATACGTTTGCGGTTCTGTCTTTGCACTGCAGGTTTTACATTAAAAGATACTCGAGCGAAGAGGAACGTTTGTGAGGAAACATCTGAACATTCAATAAGTGGCTTCCGGTAAAAACCTTTTCAAAGGGAGGTCGACTGAGGACACGGTGCTCAATCACACGCTGGAGGACCACACACACACACACACACACACACACACACACACACACACACACACACACACACACGCACACACACAGTGCAGTGCAGACTGGAAAAGTAATCACACGTCTTACCAACGAAGGGTTTCCTGAGGAGTTCTCTGGGTTTAGTTGCCTTCCTTATGGACCGATGCGTCTCTCACACGGCGCATCGCACGACGTCGCACAGCCGTTTCCTCTGCCTGGGAAACAAAGTTGCGCGTCTGAACACAACTGCTTGTCCAGGTCGAGTAACACATCGTGAAAGTACCCGGAGAGGTTTAGGGCCACATTGTGTTTCGCGTAAAAGATGAACGTGACGTTACCGTGGTATAAAAGTGAAAAGACATTAGGAATGAACAGAGGTCCCCTGGTGCTATAAGAAGGAAGGAGTTTTTTCGGGGTATTCTCCGTTCTTCTCCCCTCCTTCTCCCTTTTTGAGAATCTTTGAGCGTGCCTCCCCCCCCCCCCCTTCCCGCCCCGTTTCTCCGTATCCCTTTAACTCCGGTTCCTTCCTTGCTGTTATCATATCAGCGTTGTGAGCATAGGTGACCTTTGTCAACTGAAGTCCATGAAAGGGAGAATCCATGAAACACAAATGGACCACAGCGAGCGTGATGTAATGTCATGAAAGGGACGTAGCACATCGGGACGGACGGAGCGAGCTCGGTGTCGGCCTTTGAAGGTGCAGTTTCAGGCGTTTAGGTGGAGTTTTTTAAGAAGAGTCCACACGGGTGCAGCTGGTGGTTAAAACCTTCAAAGTCATGATGGCTTCATTCAGGGAGTGTTCCTGCTCACTGGCTGCCACTTCAAAGACGTTTCACAGCATTTTGGGCTCACTAGCTAACGGCATTATGACCAACTGGCAATCACGGTAAAAACTACACGTGCCAAGAGCACGTCGGATTTGTAATATGGACGAAGGATGTAGTATTTGTTGCATAACTATTGGTGTTAGTAGCACATTAAATAGTTACCGTTGATATCTATTCATTTTCACTGAGAGCAAAATGCTCCTAAATGGTGGAAGGAGGTCTCTGAAGACACCAGGACCACAGAGAGCCTTCACATCTTCAGACTACAGACACACCTCTTCAGACTCTACCTCCACTAACACACTAACTAACTGGAGCCCTTACATTGGACTTATAATGGTTCTTATCTACAGCAAGTTGTACATCGGCGTATTTGATGAAATTGCACTTTCTTGTTTCTTGAGTTTGTTTCTTCTGAGTTTGTGTCCTTATGGTTGAAATCCACTTATTGTAAGTCGCTTTGGATAAAATCGTCAGATAAATGACATGTGATGTAATGTAAATGTCATGTATTGTAATTTCCGTGGAATGATCCATAGTCACTCCAAATCGCTTAATACAAAGAATTATATACATATTTCTGCTTCTGGATTTAAAGGTTGTTTTCAAACTTAAGCATTTGTCAGATTTCATGGTTCAAACAAATTGATTGTTTTCAAAGGTCCGGCTTGAGCTGCAAATGTCAGGGCTCACTTCCAACCATCTTGAAGGAGAGTAATTATGTTCACGACACGTATGTGATCGGCCTGAATGAAGAGAAGCTAAAGCCCGGACATTTAGTCAGCAGCAAAAACATTTTCTTTATTATTACCTGAAATTACCTTTACAAGTACTTTGCTTGCTTTCATTGTACTTCTGAACCACAATGTCCACGTCCAAACAATAGCAGACAATCGAGCGCTTTTGTACATTTTTTGTTGTGTTTTATTTTCGTATAGAATGTCGGGGTTGGGACCACTTCGGATGGCAGCTTTGGGTTTTGTTGATCTCTCGGGTTACAGGAGTGCAAATCTGCTCACGTACTGCCATGTTTTCTTTTCATTCTTTTTATTGTCATTTTGAAATGCTGCTGGCGAGGTTTCATGAGAATATCTACATGACCCCCCGGTGATGCCGAGGCCTTTGATGAAGTGCTATGGATCATTCCACGGAAATTAGACATAACACGACCGACGAGGCTTATCTGCAACAATCTGTATTTTAT